ACTGGTTAGGAAGAGACGAATGGATCGGCATGTTCTGCTCAAACTGTACAGCTCCTGTGGACCCAGATACCAGCAAATCTGACAACCCAGTTGGCAGCCACAGGACCACCAATTAACGGGTGATCTCACCTCTGCAAGCATATCTTGAGGCAGCCAAGCAAGGGAGGCTAGAGGCACAGGGCGCCCGGCCGCTGAAGATGGGCGCTGCCTCTTTCTGCTGAACGGGTTCAAGAGCCGCATGTGGACCTGGGTCGGATGCGAGGTGGTGGAAGCGGAGGAAAAACGAATCGTTACTCCAAGTGTTCCGATCAACTGTTCCGGGCCGTAACGGAACTGATCTGTAACCACCATGTCGTCCCAAATACTGTCCGACGCGCACTCACTGTGTTGCGTGCCAAAGGAGTGACACATCCATGCATTCAAGGCGTACCTCATCTGCCTGCACTGGTTTTCTACTATCCGCCATTTCTTTCTTATCTGTGTTTCTACTATCTGGAACCGTGATCAATTGAATGCGATTCTTTGAAGGCGGCTTCCTACTCTGTGACCAACGGCTCGCATCCCAGCTACGGTCATGGACGGTCGGCATCCACACAAGATTAGGGTGATGTTCTCGCTCGTACTCAGGCCCGAGTAAGTTCGACCCTGAATCCTAATGCTTTTTTCCAAAAAGATCTAAAAAAGACCCGAATCGTTGCACTTCTTTATTCGCCCGTCGTTGTCACTCTCGCAGCCTATAAATTGAATGCGATGTATGCCATCCAACTTCACGCTCTGTACTGACTCGGTCGCGGACGGTCCGCATTCCCTAAAACTGGGGCACGAAACGTCGGTAAAGGGAGGTCGCCTGTTCGACTCAGGCCCCAGTCGTTAAGCTTGTATTTCCGAAAGTATTTTTCTTCTCCCGCTCTCCCGCTCTCTAAGAGCACACCAGCAGGCGGGCTTCGATGCGAATTTACTTGATTATTCTCCCGTATCGAAGCGGTGGCAGATGGTTTACATCCACACAACATTAAGGATTCTGTCCAGGTATGCTGCCTTGCGTTGGGTCAATTCAATGCAATGTGATTTATTCGTGTAACTCAGGCTCTGTACCGACTCGGTCGCGGATTGTCCGCATTTCCCTACAGTTACAACCAGTGCGTTGCAGGGAAGACACCTTAGACTGTCCCCAGTCTTGGAGTGAATGAATGTTTTCTTCGCCGGTCCTGGTTGCTCTAATCTGATGTGGAGTCACCCATTCCAATTTGCTGCCATGCATTCTAAGTTAATTCACATTCCGTAGCGACTCGGTGGCGGGCGGCCCGCACCCCACAAACTTTGACCATTCCATGCACATACCAGGGAAACCGCCTGTTCGACTCAGGCCCGAGCCATGGGGTACCATTTACAAATGCTCTTGTCTTTTTTGCCCAGATCGATGGTACTTCCAAATCACCTCACACACACACACACCGTAGGACAGAAATTCAACAAAGAGTACACTTCAATACGCGCCATTTGGGCAAAGTCCGCAGCGAACACCTATCCCCATAAGGATAGCGTACTTCCTAAAAAGGACATACATACATGCTCCCTCATCTGCTCCTCCTGCCCCCCACGTAAGCATGCCCTTTACATCCTCCTTCCCCACGCTGACTCACTTAACTTCAGCCCAGCGACGCCTCGCGTGCAGGCATGAAGCACACCGAGAAGAGATGGGAGACTTGAAGAGCGACTTGAAGCACAAAAGCTAGAAAGCAAGCCAATCAATACTCCTCTTCAAGAGCAAAGCAGAAACATGTACAACACGCTTGCGTACTGTAGGTATGTAAAATCGTAAGGTATTCCTATGTACACTTCCTCGTTCCGACTTCCACAAAATCACCCCACACACGGACTCGACGACGCACGCTTAGTTGCGGAAGAGATCCCGACGACCGAACTTGACCGAGCGGACAGCGCGGCCGGCGATGGCGCTGATGACACCGTCGGGGGCGGTCGAGGGCTCCTCCTCAGGAACGTTGTTGACGGCACGGCCGGCGATGGCGCTGATGACACCGTCGGGGGCGGTCGAGGGCTCCTCCTCGGGGACGTTGTTGACGGCGCGGCCGGCGATGGCGCTGATGACACCGTCGGGAGCGGTCGAAGGCTCCTCCTCAGGGACGTTGTTGACAGCGCGCTTGCCACCCTTGGCCTTCGCAGCACCAGCCTTGGCAGCAGCGGCGCCCTTGGCGGCACCGGCCTTAGCAGCAGCGGCAGCCTTGGCGGCGGCGGCCTTGGCAGCAGCACCAGCCTTCGCGGCGGCTCCGCCCTTGGCAGCGGCGGCGGCGGTTGCGGGCTGGGCGGCGACGGCGGGAGGAGGGGCAGCGGCACCAGCAGCGGCGGCAGTGGATGCGCCGGCAGCGGCGGTGACGGTGACGGTGACGGTGACGGTCTCGGTGGTGTCAGCGCCTGCAGCGGCGGCGGTAACGGTGGAGGCGGCGGCGGTGGTCACGGCGGCTGTTGTCGCAGCGGCGGCATTGTTGCCAGCAGCTCCGGCAGCAGCAGCACCGGCGCCAGCAGCAGCACCGGCGCCAGCAGCAGCACCAGCGCCAGCGGCGGCGCCCTTACCACCAGCAGCAGCAGCGGCGCCCTTGCCACCCTTGCCTCCCTTCGCACCCTTGGCGCCCTTTCCAGCGGCGGCAGTGGCGGGGGGTGCGGCGGTGGCGGGCGGAGGGGTAGCGGCGGCACCAGCACCTGCAGCGCCAGCACCTGCAGCGGCAGCGGCGGCACCGGCGGGGTCACCGGCGGCGGCGATGGTGAACGGCTTCGAGCTGCTGAGCACGGTCTCGATGTCGTCGGCGTTGACGGCCTCGAGAGTGTATGTGCTACGGGAAAAAATCAGTAAGTCGTTATTTATTCAAGACAGAAAAGCGTACCCAGGGGGGATCTGGCCAAGGCCAACAGCGGCCTTCAGTGTCGTGGGGACGATACCAGTGGCGATGTCAATGGAGATCGGGCCCTTGAGCAGGAGGGTGAATGCGCTGGGGAGGAAGGATTAACGAAAATCCAAGAGCCGGAATATTCAGACGTACGGGTCGGTGGACACGGTGGTCCAAGTGACGGCGAGGGTGCCATCGGCGTCGGTCGTGACAGGGGTGTCGAGAGTGAGACCCATCACGGATGGGAACACGACGGCGGCGCCGAAAAGGAAAGATGCGATGAAGACCATGCTTGTTGAAGAGGGAGGGAGTTGAAAAGAGAGGACTTGCTCGAGACTGGCTCAGAGGGAAAAAAGAACGAAGGAAGGGAGGGGAATCGTACCCTTTATGTGCGCTGGCGAGCCATTATAAACGGACCCCATTATAGCCGTCGTTGCCATCATCCCTGTTTCGGCTGCCCACGGCTGGCAACATAGATCACAAAAACGCCGGTTTGAACGAGATGTATAAATAACGATCCTCCTCATTGGGTCCCTTGGCTTCGGTATGTCATCAGCGGTGCCTCGCCAACATATATCAGCACGGCGATGGAGAACCGTGTCTTTGCAACGCCCCAAGTCTTGGGTGCATCGTCCACCGGCGTTCGCTGCGTCGACGAGATGGTTTGGATCTAGTCAAACACCGAGTTAGACCGTTGGACACGACGTCATTGATCGGGTTTAATGGGCCACAGCGGTCCTGATTCTACCCCGCCCGTGTCCTCCTGAACTCGTCGAGATTTTCCTTGCCATGGGAGGTTACTGTCTGGCTGCCCCACTTCTTGGCCCGCTTTCTCGTCAACTCGTTCTCTTCAATTGCGTTGCTGGAATCAAAACCAAGAATACGACGCCGTAAGTTCTGCACTTGGCAGGCCGTGTCGTGCGACCTCCGAGGTTTACTTATATAGCGGCATTGGGAATGGAGACGCCAGGACGCAACACGGCCTCGAGCAGATCGCACCGTCGCACCGTCGCCGCTGGCTGTCGCGCATGCAAGGGGAGATAATTATACCGCCGACTTCGATTTAGGCGCGCACGATGCTAATCAGACGTTGTGACCTCGAGTTCAACGCCAACACCTGTCGTTTATCTTCGTCGAAGGTGCTAGAAGCTACCACTGCTCGCTCTGAATCCTCTTGGATCCTGCGGCACGTCGCACACATTCGGCTCACTCCATTCGCGTTAGCATGCCTAGCACCGATCGCGTCCCCAATTCTACTTCACACAACATCCCTGGACTAGCCCGGTGGTCTGCACGCCGAGGATGAACAGCATCGCAGCTCTCGCCTTGCCTTGAATCGTTGAAATGTAAGTTTGGATGAGTTCGCTTACCCTTCGACGCTTCTAAATTAACCTATTCTCCTGTTGCTGCCCTATTTAGGTACCTTGGAGGTCCTACCCCTTGCACCGGTTGGTAGCGGACGGTCCACATTTTCCATATTCTGAATTGATGTAGAAACGCGCTCCATGGATGGGAAATTCGCCTGTTCGACTCAGGCCCGAGCCATATGGTCGGATTTTCTAACTCTTTATTCATCGTCCTTTCCCAGAGCCCACAAAGACTCAAATAAACGTGCAGGCGTCTGTTTATTTCCCGGGGACGCTCAAACAATATTTCTTGGCAGCCCATCCGGCCGTCCTGACTCCCCAATTGTCGGAATTGACTCTCGATCACCAACAGCGCCCCAGTTTTGTAAGTGACGAAGTTCAAATACGTTGTTCAGGTGTATCGACTCGGTGGCGGTCGGTCCGCATCCACACAACCTGCAAATGCCGAGTCTCTCTCCGTGGAATTCGCCTGTTCGACTCAGGCCCGAGTCATATCTGGTGGGTATACGCGAACTTTTTTTTTGTATTCGCTGTTTTTCGGGGGCAGGACGACTTAGATAAACGTGCAGGCGTCTTTTCACTCGCCGCGGTCCCCACGAACAATACTTCCTGAGACACGCACTGTTTTCCACAATTATCCAAAGTGGACTCTCAACCCCAACTAACCACCTCTGTACGTGCGCCGAAGTTTTGTACGTGACAAAGTTTACATACACCGTTCAGGTATAGCGACTCGGTGGCGGACGGTCCGCTCCACACGATCTAATCTGTTGCAGCGCCGTTCTGTGGAAGTCGCCTGTTCAATCCGGGCCCGAGTCATGGGCTGTTCAAGTAGTCTTTTGCCCTCTTCGATGATTCCCTTGGAAACCTTGCAACTGCGTCGTCGATACCACTGACGTGAAATCCCCCAGACGTCGAGTCACAGCTGTTCCAGTAGTCACTTTTTGCCCTCTTCGACAATTCTCTCGGAAACCTTGCAACTGCGTTGTCGATACCACTGACGTGAAATCCCCCAGACAAGAACGTTCATCTCTTCTTCAAGTTGACTCTCAATCTGTTTCGCGCAGGCAAATTATGCGACTGTCAGTCCCACGCACTGATGCAGTGCAGCGACTCGGTGGTGGACGATCGTCATCCACGATCTGTGACTTGCTGGAGCCTCCGAGTTGCCTGTTCGACTCAGGCCCCAGTCATATCTGGTGGGTTTCACGAGCCTCTTATATATCGGAGTCATACATTTATTAACCGTTTCTCAGAGACTCAAAAAGATGGGTAGGCGTTTTTCCCTCCCGCAGACGATATTCCGTACGACACTGTCTTGATCCATTGTTCGAGGGACTCTCAATCCAACTAACTACTTCTGTACAGTGCTGTACGCGGCAGATTGTCCGTACTCCGTCGATTCGGTGGTGGACGGTCCCGCATCTGATACGAGAGCCTTGTTTCGTGGAATCCGCCTGTTCGATTCGGGCCCGAGTAATAATCACGACGGATGCTTTTTTTTTGTTCCTCCTTTTCTTTCTTTTCTTTTCTGATTTTATTGAGCAGACTTGTGGAGCAAATCCAGAAGAGCCGAACGTCCACCCCAACAGGACGACGGTTCTGAATCAACGGTCACTCAACCAAGCAGTTGAACCAGTAGATCTTAAGCACGATGATAAGGCGCAGCAAACCAAGCACGCCGATCCGAAACCATTGCTCAGAGAAATTCAACACAGGTTCAAACAGGATATGCCAGTTCATATGTACGAGCGTCTGTCTACGACCCTATGCACAGCCCTTATTCTCTTTAGGTCCTTAAACCTGTAGATCTCGTTAAGAACGGATCAACCTGGTACAGCAACTGCTGGATTCGTTTTTCACACAGCGCCTGATCGAAGTTCAACGTAGACGCCGGGGCGCCTATCAAATATGGCCTCATCCCGCGCCTCGCGGCATCACCTCGCGGTGCCGCACTTAAGAGGAGTCGTTTTGGGACACACCGCCACTAACTGCGCTCTCCACTACATCCCCAGCCATGTCCGAATCCTTGCTGGTCCTCATCGTTTCTCTCTCGGCGATAGTATTAACGCTGTACGGCGTGTCCCCTGTCGCAGCAGTGACCGGTTACGTGCAGCAGATGTGGGCGAATCCGCAATTCGCAGAACTCTTCCGATTCATGTTTCTGGGTGAGTGGTTTCTCTGCCATCTGGTGAGCCTTTTCCTCAGCTTTTGTATTGTCAGGAACAATCGTGGAAACTAGCAGAAAACTCGGAGAGATGTTGTTGAGTTCCAGCTCTAGCTGTAAACTTGAATATTCCATACGACATTACTGCGCCGACTGATTCTATGCGATATTCAGTATTCGTGGTAAGGCGAGGAATCCATGCGTATATATGCGCTTCTGACTTCCGATCCTCCTCGATTGCAGGTCAAAGCCGAGTTCGAGACACGCGATTTTGCGTACGATTGGGTGCTCAACTACTTGGAGCATCACCGTGTGTGGAACGAGAGCAGGTCCTTCAAGGTCCTGGCCCGCAATGCGTCGTCGCGCCCAAACGCCTCCTCAGCTTTAGGAAAAACAGACGGTCACCCCGAGGCCATCTACGAGCCTGCACCTCTGATGCCTTCCATTTTCCGATGGAAAGGCTACTGGATCTCCGTCGTGAGTGCTGTTGACACGGATCGGAGGTTATAGCTATAAACCCTGCAATTTTCTTCGTACAGAATAAGACCGTGGCGGGGTATTCGCACTACGACACCGGAGAAGAGGTTGGCGGTACCCTGACGATTAGGTATCCATTCCCTTTATTTCGAAGCCATCGACTTTGAACTCTTTATTAGCATATGGAGCCGCAAGCGCGGGATTCTGGACAAATTTGTCACGGCTGCTAGGCAGTTTTATATCGACTCGAAAGTCCTTCCTCGCAAGGTGGAACGCGAAAAAGAACCTGTCCGTGTTTGCAACCTTGTCGCATGCCTCTGAAGCTTATCATTATCATCGTCCCCAGTCCGGGTGCCTCATGACAGCGGTATTCCCGCAGGGTGATTTGTCCCATGACTGGATGTTCGCGTACCTCGTAGGCTGATATTTGGATTCACCGTCATTCGCGTTATTCAAAATCATCGCAGCGCTCTACCGATGCCCTTCAAGACACCATGGATTTCACGATCAGCACGAAACAAAGCGATTTCGGCTGGGGCACCGGGCCTAAAGACAGAGTTCGGTACATGCCAGCTCATGATACCAAACAACGCTTTCTCTTCACGTCCCCAAATACTGGTCAGAGCACATGGCTCCAAGGTCAGCGAAACAACGCCTGCTTCATTCTCCATATCCATCTTTCATTACCAGTCGTGGTGACACCGGGCACGGTCAGCTGGAACTCAACTACTGCAACTGGCGGGTCGATCACTCTCACGTTCGTTTGTTTCATCGTCCCTTCATTGCTCGGAGTTGCATCTGAACTGCGGTCGATCGAACAGGCTTTACTCCTCCGACAAGGAAGTACTGTCCGATCTCATTGATACCGCGCACAAGATATATTTAAAGAAGGGGGTTTCCACGGTAACCGTTCATCTCACCGACAATGTGAGCTTCAAGAGACTAGCTCATGCTGCTGATCACCCAATCCAAATTTGCTCCTAGCGAGGCGAATGGGCCAAGACTGTCACGAAATCGCGTCGCGAGTTAACAACTTTGATTTTGCCGGCTGATATTAAGGAGACAATTCTCGCTGACGCACGGGAATTCCTGGCGAGCGAGCACTGGTACAATGAGGCAGGAATCCCTCACCGTAGAGGTCAGCAAACTTATCTCTCCTTGTGCGAATATTTCTGATGTTCTCCTTAGGCTATTTATTGTGTATGTCTTAATTCTTTCCGCATGGCCAATCCCTGACTTCAACATGGAAGATGGGGAACCAGGGACGGGAAAGGTTCGTAACTTTATACAGATAACGGAGAGGTTTCTGATATTTCTTCAGAGCTCGACGATCCACGCGCTCGTGCGTTCATTTCCTTTCTCAATTCTTCTGCATGTCATTGATTCTACAGGCCGGAGAGCTCGGGCTGGAGGTACCGCTGCTTATTGGAGAGTTGTCTGCAATGGCTGATCGCAGTTAGATTTATTTCATATCCCTCGCGAGCCCTGGCATCGACGACTACAGCCTGGCAAAACTCATTAGCGACACCCCTTCCCGGTGCATTCTTCTGATCGAGTGCGTCCCCTGAGCCGCTAGAAAGGCTCGAAGATTTGACCTTTCACCAGGGATATCGACTGTGCGTTTCCATCCAGAGACGATGGGGACGACGAGGAGGAAGAGCCCATTGTGGATAAGGATGGGAAACCAATAGGTCGCAATGCTACCCCACCGCGCTCGGCAGTGACACTGTCCGGTTTGCTCAACGTGCTGGACTCAGTGTCGAGCGAGGAGGGTCGCTTGACTTTCGCCACTGTTCGTCGCGCGTCTTCCCCCATTTCCGTAGAATTAACAGTTGTCTAGACAAACCATATCGAAAACCTAGACTCGGCGCTCATAAGAGCAGGACGCATGGACGTGAAAGTGCGCTTATCGCGCTTCTCGGCATCGGCTTCAGAAATAACCTTTCTCCATCAGATCCAGTACAAGTTCGCGGACTCGGTACAGATCCGCCAGGTATTCAAACGGTTCTTCCCAACAGCGGGGAAGACCGATATACAGGACGGTCCAGAAGATGAACCCGCCGACGACAAAGAATCGCCGTCAGTTACCTATAGCGCAACGGAGGTGGACAACTACGCAGCTCAATTTGCGCGCGCCATCCCCTCGGGCGCGTACTCCATCGCGCAGATTCAGGGCTACCTCCTTACGCGCAAACGAGATCCCGCCGCCGCGATTGAAGGCGTCCATCAGTGGCTCGTATCCCAGCAGGAGGAGAAGAAGGCTATGAAAGAGTTGAAGCAGAAGCGGAAAGCGGAGAGGGCGCGCAAGTTGAAGATCGCGAGGGAGAAGGCCGATGCTGCAGAAAAACAGCAAGTGACTGATACTGCCGCCGGGGAAACTGAGGATCTCTCAAACAAAGCAGTGAGCACCAACGGAGTCACAAGCAAGCGCAATGGTGCGGGGGAAGCCATGAATCTCCCCCGGGCCGGGCAAACGTTGAGCCGCAGCGGAGACGATGTCGTCGGAGGCAAGATCAATGGGGTGCACGCTGACGCAAATTGAATTAATCATTGGGACCAAGCGTTGGTTGACTGAACGCGTATTATATGCGAATTTCTTGGGTTTTCCCCTACTAGTATAGTAATCAATGTTCCTTAGACTTCGCCGTAAGACATGGGGGACCACACGTCCACTGCCACCACGTTCTGGACTTCACCTACTTAGGCATCACGGTATTAACGACTGTGTAGTCTCGAACAGCCTACTTAGTGGTTGGATTTCTCCCCATCATCTCCGAGGCGTCCAGAGCAACAAAAAACAATTGTTAGTTTATTGATTCATGTTGCTGAGAAATCTACGCACATACAGTTACTCCGCCGGACTTCAACCGTAGGTATCGTGCAAACGAGACGAACGACGTTTTCTGTGGCTATGCACTCACGGATATTAGGAGCCATGATTATCCCTTTAGAGGTCGGATGCAAATTTTCGGCCCAAATTTGAGTTTTATCCGAACTTTTTTTCCGTTCCCTCGGTTTCTGAGGCGGCCAAAATCGTTTGTTTCCAAGGGCGGTCCTTTTCGGTTTTTTTTTGGTTGAAAATTTCCGAAGATTTTACCCGAACTCCTGATCCGACCTACATAATCATGGCTCCTCACGTTTCGCGCCCACATGATCGCGTCGCGTCGCGTCACTC